TCTGTCTCACTTACAGGTGGGATCCACAGTGAACCTTTGATAAGTAATCTTGATCTTTGTAAACTCTGGAGATCACATACTAAAAGGATGATTGAGAAAGAAATGAAGGTTTTGTGATTGACAGCCATAGTCCTGAGATTAGTGCAGTGATTAGTTAGAGAGCCTGTGATCAAATGTCTGAACCAAGTTACTTAGCCAGATAGAAATCCAAACTGAGCTGAAATAGGATTTATCATCTCAGGGTCCCAACACTGAATGCCCCAACATGGACCTGAGGTCCTGGCAAAACTGTTAGATTAATCAAGAATCAAACAAATTTATGAGCTGATCACTCAATTCCTTCTCTCTACCCCCTGTCACCTAGCATACTCCAAGTTAGAGAAAAACATTTGATGACACATCTCCACAACATAGTATGGACGGCTTTACCTAAACCCAGAGGAAGGATACTTGCATATTAATAAATGTCTGGGCTTATTACTTGCTCTGGTGATGATAATGGTATGATGATATGATGTTGATGATGATGATGATGATACTGAACTCCTACTGAAGTAATTCCCTAGAATTTCTGTTAGTGTCATCTACCCTGAGTATTTTGTTCTGCGGGAGGCTGCAGAATCCTGGGTAAATGACCTCGCTTACATTTTAACTTCCTATCTATAAAATGGCGATAGAAATGGTATAACACACTGAGTAAATGAAATGTTCTTATTATAGTGCCATTTAATAAATATTAAGTGAGCAGAAGTGGGAGAGGCGGTACTTAAAGGCAAGTTGGCAGTGGAGTGGAGCAGTGGCAAACCCAGAGCATCATCCTGCCCACTGTGACTCTTTGTTCAGGTCAAGGTAAAGGAAAGAGGCTCTAGGCTTCAGGGATTTGACAGCAGAGCCCCCACTCTCTTTCCCCAAAGGCAGGGCAGACTAGAAAGGGGGCTTCTGGTGATTGGAACATCCTTCTTTAGCCCTCACAGGTAAAAGAGTCGGTGTTATTTGCTCCTTTTCCCCCTATTAATTTGCTGATATATAACTATTCCTATCATTGCATTGAAATTTTCACGAAAAAGAAAACATGTTTAAGTAACCAGTATGACTTTTAGACATATTTTCTGAAAGTCAGTAAATCCAAATTTTGTCGTTCTTTTCTGTAGCTAATTGCCGGGGCCAAAACATCCATAGCTATAATTGTGCTGATGATACTGAACTTTTGACTTCACAGCAGCCTGACAGCCCTTCCTGAGTTAGTTCTGTTGTCAATACCACTGACATGTAGGGTTCCTGGGGCACCAAGGGGCAGAAACTTGAAGATCATAGAACTGGCCAGCAGCAGTGTGCTCCCCTACGCTTCCTGTTTAGCACGTCTGCTCCCTGTCCCTTAGTTTCTCCATCCCTCATTCCTTCTGCTGCTGATGGGGGCTATGAGGGTTGCCTGCCCTAGCCAACTCTGAGGCCTGGACCCTCCTACACCCTAGTTTCCTTCCTGCCAACACTTACTGGTGCCAAAGTCCAACTCTTCCAATACCCCATCTGTTCTATTTCTGGTATCATCTATTTCTTCCCTGTTTATGAATTAATGTAAATCATTTCATTCACTCTCCCAATGTCACTGTCAACTTTCTCTTCTTCCAGGAGTTGGTATGATTTCTTATGTAACAGGTACTATTTTCAGGAGGATCCTAGTGTTGGATGATTTTTTATCAGTTCTTTGTCCACCTAACTATTGGTTTAGCTTGTAGCTATTATCAGCTTTTGGGGAACATTTATTTTTATTTTTGAAGATTTATTTATTTATGCATACAAGAATTGGGGTGTAAGCCAGAGGTGTGGGGAGGAGTGAGGATTCAAAAGATACAGAATGGGGAGCAGAACAAGCAGATATACTGAAATACACTGCTGAGGGGAGCAATGGGTAGGTCAGAAGAGGTCCGCTGTGCCATGTAGGTCAGCTCCTTGATTGGGAATCAAACGCATGCTGTTGTGGCTGAGGATAGCATCGAGATACTGTGTTTTAACCCCTGTGTCACCAAGGAGGTCCTTGTGGGGAACATTTAAAAGTTACTCTTTCTTGTTGACATTTGCAATCTTGTGTGAATATTTAACTTGTTAAATACAAGTAAACATAATGCTTTAAAACCACAGTTTTCAGGAAGCACAGCTAGGTGCTACTCATTGCTACATCCTGCATGCCAAGAACTGTGCCAGGTACTGTAGGAAGGGATGAAGGTGACTCACACAGACCCAGCTCCCCAGTGGCCAGGCCTAGCTGGGAGTATTAAGGATGTTCCATGAGCATGTTCAGTAAAAACTACATGCTTTTCTAAAAACTGAATTTTTTAAAATAAAAACAAAAAAATAATAAAAACTACATCTTTTTAAAATTTTTTTATTTTTATTAATTTTTTTATTACAAAAGTTTATTTTTACATCATTTTGTACATTTTTTTTCCATCTCGATTGTAATCCCCGCGGGAAAAACTACATCTTTTTTAAAACTGTTTTTATTATAGATTATGTACAGACCTTTGACTTCCTTGTTTAAATTTATTCATTTTTATTGCTTTTTTGATGTCATTGTGAACAGGATAGTGTTTCCCCCTAATTTTCTTTTTCAGATGTCTTATCACTATTGTAAAGAGATTACTATGTGTTGGTTTTATAACCTGCAACTTCATTGAAGTTGTTGCTTAGTTCCAACAGCTCATTTGGTTGACTCTTCAGGATTTTTTCTACATAAGATGATATCATCAGCAAATAAAGACAGCTCTACTTCTTTCTTTCTAGTTTGGATGCTTCTTATTCCTTTGTCAAGTCTGAATGTTCCAGTGAAGACTTGAAGTACCATTCTGAATGGCATCCTGTCTTGTTCCAGTTTTTCTCCACTGATTATAATATTAGCGGTGGGCTTCAGGTCTTTGAATGATAAACCTTGACCTGCCTGTGGGCAATCTCTTTTCTGGGTAGCATTATTAGAGTTGATTTCCTGAAAGCTCCTTTTACTTTAGCATGATTTTGCTGAAAATAACACTGACTTAAAATGGAAAATTTCTCCAGCTCTTGTGTACATGCATACACATGGAAGTGTGTGCATTCCAGACTTTTATTTCTATACACCTTGTCACACTGTTGCATCTTAATACTCATTTGACACTTCCCACTGCAAGTTTTAAAGCTTTATATCTACAAGTTCTTTTTATTTGATGAGATGAAAAGCTCTGTAGCTCTGAAGTCTAAGAAACTTCTTGAAGCGACCAGAAAAATAATTTCTTGCTAAAAGTAGGCTCTCAACTGACTGTCGTTCACGGGCTTTTGTGTGACATCACCAAAGATTATGTAGCATTTGGAGACAGGGTATTTGTTGAATCCAATTATGGTGAAGAAAGATGTACTTAGCTCTTCAAAGTGGTCAGTTCAAAGCCTAATGTAAAATAAAAAACATACTTTTGATGACATGTGAGTATTCTATGCCCAGTACATACATAGAATTGTCTTGGGGTGTATTCCCAAATACCAGTAGCTAGCTCTTTGAGGCTCACATGACTTGATTTTGCTGACAGATGTTAGGGGAGTTGGCTAAAGTGTATAATCATTGTTTTCATTTTTCTTGTAGGGCTGGGAGAACATACCACAGGTTACAGACTGCTGGGTTCTTAATCACAAGGGACAGGGAGCTCAGAAGTACCACAAATCATTCCAAAAATACAGTGTGAAAGTCCATTTATGAGTGATTAGCTATTTAACAAAACTGAAGGAAGCTACTGAAATAATTACAGATACATACACTCTTGTTCCCATGGAAACAATCCATTTCATATCCACCAGTTACAAAGTCTTGTGCACATTCCTCCTGGGCAGAGTTACTCTAAGTTGGTGCTGTCCTAGCCTTTCTCGCCTGCAGGTGCTGAGTACAGAGGGCCGCCTCCTTTCAAAGGACATTTGCCCAAGGCTCAGTGGCTGACCTTCTTACCAATCTGATTACCAGTCCCTCTTGGTTCTGTTGCCGACATTGAAAGAGAACTGGCTTTCTTTCAGGCTCCTTGAGTCCAGTTTAACCACTGAAGTGCAATGTTAGAAATTACAATTTCTGTTTGTGTCAACTGTATGCCCTCATAGTTGAAACCACAATTCTTTGATTTACTAAAATGTCATATTTTAGGAAGGTATAGGAGTTTTAAGTCTGTGGCAAATATCTGTGTCCTGAAGTCACAATAGCAGCAACAAGCAATATTTATCATTCTCTTTGGTTTGTATACTTTCAAAATCTTTGTTCTGAGTTGCATTGCTTCAGAACAATAGCTTGGTAGCCACGGGGTAAGCAACGTGAGTCTGATATTACTCATCGATTAGGTTGATCTTTATAGCAAAACTTTGACATTAAATTACTTATGGCCCTCCCTGGTGGCGCAGCGGGTTAAAGCACAGCACTGAGAATCTAAAGCCGCTTCGCATGAGTTCGATTCCCGCCTGCCCCGGAGGTGACCACATGGCGCGGCAGACCTCTCCTGACCCGCCCGCTGCTCCCCTCAGCAGTGTACTTCGTCGATCTGCCTGTTCTGCTCCCCACTCTGTCTCTGGTGAAGACTCTCGCCGCCCCTGAGCCTCTGGCCTGTACCCCAGTTCTGTATGCACAAATGGATAAATCTTAAAAAAAAAAAAATTACTTATGCAGTCTGTTCTCTTTTATCTTTTTATATTTGCCATATAATCAGGTTAACTTATGTTGTAGTGCATCTTTGTAGTCATCTGTCACTGGCAACTTGCAATATATAATATGCTATTTTCCCGGAATTTATTAAATCCAAGTAAGATTCTCTCATTCTTTAAAAATTTTAAAAGGGTAAACAGGCAGGGTTTGGACTAATGCTACAAGGCAAATCCCAAAGAAAAATCTAACTCTTTTCAATAAATCTTTGAGGTGTTAGTATGTGAGTCATTCAGCGTTGAATAATGCTTTCTTTTGTCTCTCCAGCAGCATATTAACATACATGTATTTTTCTCCACAGTAAAACCAACTGTAATTGATGTCGACATCTACGTTAACAGCATTGGTCCTGTGTCATCAATAAACATGGTAAGAAACCATTTTCTTTTCTGACCTGACAGCCTTTACGTAGATCAGTTCTTGTTTGCATTCTCCTTGTGGGCTTCTGCTTGAGATTTATCATGCAGGTTTAAGACTCATAATTGACATCTTAAATCTGCAGCATTTATTGGTAGTTTAAGTGTTGAACATTGCATAGAAATCAAGAATTAGAGTATGACACTCGCAGTGAGACATTGCTCTAATGATTAAAAGTTTTTAACACCCCATCTGCACAGACATATTAAGATTTACTGCATGTAGAGTTCCAATGAGATGATTTGCAATTATGCAGTTGTTGGCTACATTGGAACCCTGAGGGAGAATGTAAATGACAACTTTTTGACTTTTTGTACCTTTTATCGATCTCCAAGAGATCTGCCTTATTGTGTCTCTTGAGAAAGGATGTAAAATTACCCAGATTGTGCTTCTGGCTTCAGATTGAACACTGAGAGTAAATAAGCTGCTTTTCACTATTTTATTTTATTGTTATTATTTATTTTTGCTTTTTATTTTTAATAGGAGAAAGTATGGGATGAAAAAGTTGTATTTCTAAGGTGGAATATTTCTAGAAATAATTGTTTGCATGGTGAGAGGAGGCTTTCCCTGGTGTGTGTGTGTGTGTGTGTGTGTGTGTGTGTGTGTGTGTGTGTGGGCACATGCTTATTAGGCTAGTGTTGGCATGTTGGAGGGGTGCCTTGATGTGACATGTGCCATCAGTTGTGGCAGTTGCCAGTTGTCTCCCTAAGTGGGGCAGGTAGTTGACCTGGACCGGAACTTGCTTTTTAGACCCTGTGATGGTGCCAGGAGGCCCAATCCCCAGGGCTTTCTTTGTGCTCCCCACTACACATTAGCTTCTGAATTTGGGGGATGTGTGATGCTGAGGGTGAAGATTGCCAAAATGTTGATTTTGATGCCTTCCTGTCATTGCAGTATGGTGCTAATGGAAATAACGTCTCCCCGCCCCCATCAGTAGCACAATTGTTTCTTTTCATTGCCATATTTATAAAGCGTTCATTTTTTCCTCTGTGGTATAAAGGTTCCATGTAAGGGTGAATTTATTTTTATGGGTAACACACTTGAAAAAATTCCCTCATAAGCCAAAGATAGCGCACTGGAAAAGAGGTGAAATGGATTACAGAGAATTCATTTTATGCCACCTATGAGATGTGGATCATAAAATATATATGGTAAATGCAGTATTTCCTTCTCCTGCAAATGACTAAAAGTCTGTGGCATATAGCGAATACTCACTTGCTGGCTGTGGTGTATTTGTTTCTTATTCTGGAGTTTCATTTTTCTCCCTCTCCGTTGCATAACACTTGATTCCACACCTTTCTGTCTAACACTAATTTATGTCTCACACCAAAAGAGAAGTGGCTCTGTAGATATATAGTAACAAATTTATTTTGGGACCAGGTGCTTGTTGCACTTGACATGTGTTTATCTGGGGATTTTCATGAACTCCAATAACTTTGAGACCTATTTTGTGGAGTTAAGCTCTGCTTTGGAATTGATGGGAATTTCTGCCTGGAAATCCTAAATTGCAAAGGAGGAAGCTGAGTAAGTAACAAGTCTCGCAGGAGGTGACAAGGACTGTTAATGGCCGCAACCTCTGGGATAGATTTTCTCATGAGGTTTTTTTCTACGGCAAGTTCCATGTGATACTTGACTCACAGGCAGGCGTGGCCAAGGCAGGGCAACAGCGTGACCTGTGGGGGGTGAGAGCTGATATGATGTGCTCTGGGAGCAAGCCCAGCCCTGCTCAGAGCTGAGGCTTGAAGTCTCGCTGAAGAGTGAGCCATCCTAATCAGATTCTGATGTCTGGGAAGCATGAAAACTCATACCCTCCGGGATAGGTCCAGGTCATATTACACAAAATTTGTTATTGAGATCCCACAAGATGTCTACCAGATCTCCTTTCTCCTTTTTTCCAAAGAGGTAAACTGCATGAGATAGATCTAATATACACAATGGGATACTACTCACCTATAAAAATGATGAAATCCTGCCATTTGCAGCACCACGTGTGAACCTACAGGGATTATGCTTAATCAAGTAAATCAGATGGAGAAAGTCAAACAAGTAGATTCTACTCATAGGTAATATGTAGAGAACCCAAACAAACAAATGAACTAATTAAAATAAACAAAAAAATCTCTTTACTTTTTTTTTTTTAGTCCAGTTTGTGATCACCAGATGGGTAATTTGGGTAAAAGGAGTCCTCTGTATGGTGAAGAATAGAATGCATTTGTAGGAATGAGCTTAATGGGATCCACACAGATGTGGATTTGTAATGATGCACACCTGAAATGCACAGTATAATGTAATGTTAATTCAACAAAAGATATAAACAAATAAAGTTGCTAACTCTGACCCTCCATTGAGGGGTAAGGGCCCGAGTATTAGAAGACCTCCATCACCAGATAAGTCCCGCGGCAGAGACAATTAAATTGTTGGTGTTCAATTTTTAACAATGAGGATTGGACTAGAATACTTTTCTGGTTAACCCCTCCTTAAAAGCAGTTCCCCTGATTATCTTGAACATTCTTAATAGCCAGAAGAGGGAATGTCCAACAGCATCCAGGTAAGTCTTGAAGGTTTCAGAGGTGGGAGCTTGCTAGTCGTTTCTTTGTTTTCAATTTAGATTTTTTTAAAGGACAACTTTTTCAGGGCAGTTTTAGTGCACAGAAAAATTGAGAGGAAGGTAGAAAGATTTACCATGTACATGGTCAATCACAATGCCCCATTATGAACATCTCCACTAGAGAGGTGCAGTTGTTACAGTGGAGGAAATCTTCACAGTCACGTCATGATCACCCTGGGTTCCAATTTGGGCTTGCTCTTGCCGCTGTCGCCCCTCTGGGTCTGGACATGTATGGAGATAAGTGCCCACTGTTACCATGTATGGGTTAGCTTTCCTGCCCTGAATATCCTCTATGCTGAACTGCTTCTTGAAGGATGAGTGTTTCTAACATCTGCCCTCCAGACACTTTGCTTGGAAGTCAAAATGATAAAGAGCTTCTTCTCACACCATTGAATATATCCTAGAAACTATTTTTCCTGTCTATGAAATGTCACTCCACAGTTTCAGAAGAATGAAAAGTGCTTCAACTGGACTTCATGAAAACTGCCAGCAATTTAAAGTAGAGAAATGACTACATCAGTGGGAATTGGGGCTTGTCGGCAGTATTAATAAAAAGAATATGAAAAAATAAAAGCAGTCAGATTAAAGAATTTATTATAAACAAAAGACACAATCTAGAGACTTGTACAGGATTTAAGGATGCAAATTTGTTTTGGTCTTTTGACCATAGAACTAAAACTTGATAAATGCTGGCTTTACTTCTAAATGTTCATGTAAAACTATTTTTCCCATTTTTCTGCTTATATTGATACAGAAGATTCAGTCTCAGACATTCTCCCTGATGAATAAAAATGATGTTGCATTTCAGCTGCTAAACTGATTTTTGTTGTCTTGTTTATGCTTTTTCTAGCAATCGGGGAGATTAGACATGGTTTCGGTGAGTGGAGGAGACTTAGTATTACACAGTTTTTATCACATCCTCTGTCCTTATCATTGCAACACACCTCAGTGTGCAGGGTCCCTCATAGAAACAGTGGTGATTTGTTTCAGGAGCTTGGAAACTTCATGGAGGTGGGCTTTTAATGTTATTTCTGAGCATGTTCACTGGAAGCCACCTTTTAGAAAAAGAATAAAGACCACTCTTGCTTTGCTATCTGTTCGATGCTATTGACCTCAGCTCATTGATCTTTACTAGATCACAGTGGAGAAGATTTTGCCCTCTTCCACTTATTTGTGATGAGTAAGGTGAATCTCATAAAGATGGGGATCCCAGAGCAATGCCTCTACCTGCCCTCCCCCCCCCATGGAGTTTCTGTAGTCAATAGGTAAACGCAGCTGGAGAGCGGCAGCTCTGATCTGGAAGTTGAGATGAGAAGACTCAAGATGAATCTACTGTTAGAATGGATTTGCCTTTATAAGATTATCAAGTAGACTTTACCAGAACAATTATAATTTTCTCCCAGTTTTAGAGACAAAATTGACAGAGAACATTATCTTAAGTTTATGGTATACCATGGGAGGAATGATAGAGGTATACAGTGAGAACTGATCATCACTATAAAGTTAGTTAACACAGCCATCACCTTATATGGCTACCAGTTGTGTGTATGCAGTGAGACTTTTAAGGTTTACTCCCTCAGTAATCTCAGGGTCCAAGGGAAATCATCCTTTACTCCTCTGTGTTCTAGACAAGTAATCAAATGTCAAATAGATCAATAAGAGAAAAGTAAAAATAATAATAACAGCCACGCCTGTGTGATTGGGAAAGACCCAGCATGGCTAGGTAACTCCTTAGCACAGCTTCAGATGCTGCCTTCAGTCGTTTAGCTAAAATAGGAGTATTTTGGGGGTGTTGGAAACTAGTAGAGGGAAGATCAGCTAGGGAGTTCACCAGTAGAAGGCTCAGTGGAGAAAGATACACAGATTTAAGTTCTGCCTTCCCCATTAAAAAGAGATAAGGAGATTAGGTCTTCCTGGGAGAGCCCTTACACAAAAAAGTTTGCACAAATATAACAAAGTAACCTCCTCCCCACCTTCAGAGGCTGTCCCTGTAAGTCAGACTTGTCAACAATACATCATTTGGGCTTCCCTAAGGTAACTCAGCTTTCAAGTACCCAATATAGGCTGTTAACAGAGTTACCAGGCATGCATCATCTTATACCTGGGTATTCGTACCCTTTCCCACCTTTTCCCATTTCCATCAACCACCCCACCTTGCTCCTCTGTGACCACCAATGTTCTCTCAATTTCTGTGATTTAGGTTTGTTAAGATTCCACATATAAGGTCTTAACAGTCTTTGTCTTTCTCTTTCTAATGTACTTCATATAGCATAATTTCAAGTTTACAGAAAAACTGGACAGAAATCATAGAATTCTCATATCTCTTTAAACACATACACCCCTC